AATCTTTCAGAGTTAGATGATGCGTTAGACGATATTAACCTGGTACACGAGTCATTTCAGCAAGGAATAAAGCCCTCACCCGTTTAAAGTCCTCTCTGTCACTTTCGGGCGGCACTATTAACCCTTTAAAGCGGGGTTTTATTCTGTATTATATAGAATAAAAGGTTTATCTTGATTAAACTATTGACAGAAGAATGCTACAATTTATCTAATGGTAGCTGTCTCGCGAATCCTGTGAGGTGGACACTGCGAAAAAGTGCAAAGACATCGTTTCTACGGACAAAAACTTCGCAATGTATGCACCATACGCTATTATCTGGGGTTTTGATTGGCTACTGCAGAATAAAAAAAGATCGCAATGTCTTCTGTAAGGTATTTCCCCTCCAAAACGATAAGTGAGATTGGCGGCTTTGCGCCATTTTGGATGGCCGCCAGAGCTTCATCGCTACGCGGCAGAAGTTCGCTCACCAAATTTTCGGCCAGCTCTAGACTAGAAAGAGTAGAAGAAGAACTAGGCTTGAACTGGCCGAAAAGTTTGGTGAGCGAACAGTCTATTGATTTGACTACTAGCTAGCTAACTACTGTCTTCTTTCTCTTCGTCAGCGCGCTTACGCTTGCGAAAGCGTATGCGCTTCTTCAGGTGTGCTGGAATCGCAGTTCCGTTTCGCCAGACCTGGTGCCAAATCTGGCTGCACGTGAGCGTGTTGCCGCTATCCTCTCTCCGAACGCGATTACATAGAGGTACGTAGCCGGCGTGGGATTGAGTGCACTGGGGGCAGAAGTAGCTGCTTTCAAAGCTTTTCGTTTGGGGCGTCGCCATTGCCGAGCATACCTTGCAAAGGTGCTGACGACGTTTGTTCTTCCCATTTTCATCATACATGTCGTTCGTATTCTGCAGGGCGTGTGGCTGCGTTCGAATTGGCTCCGTAATCAAATCCTCTGCGTTGGTGTTTGCACGCAATGTGGCTTCTGTTGTTGCTAAAAGCTCCGTTTGCAGTCTTCGCATGTACTCTGCGTGCGTCGGTATGCGTTCTCCCTTTTTCTTCAAGATGAGTTTGTACAGGATGAACCCGTTGACAATCGCCATGTCAACAAACCCCAAGAATAACTGGCGGTAATATTTTTTGAAAGCCACACATCGCTGATATCGAATATCGCTGCAGTCGCAGCTGGTCAAG